AATGATATATCGCATGATTTGCTTCCATTTGTTCTGATATTAGGAAAATTTACTTTGTGCGCTGGAGTGCCACTAAGTAGTGCTAACCAGAACTAATTAGTAATTAAAAAACGGTCAGAGATACCGTTTTTAAACCTTTTTGTATGGAATTATATCTGCAAACAATTCTCTATCAGACTACACTACACAATCGATTGAATGTAACATTTATATCGAAAGCTAGAAAGGCTTTAAAATATGCCTGTCAAACTAAAAATTTCAATTAATTTTGAACTTAATTAATTAATAACTCTGTCAATATTTGATCAACGAGTTTTTTATTGCATAGGCATATCACCGAAGATGTTCTCTACAAAATGGCAAAATTTGAGGGTATGTTTAGGGGGATGACACCCCCCCTTAAACAAAAGACAAAATCATGAAATATCTACAGTCAGATACAGTTTATCTGGCTAACTAATGTAGGAACTGTGAAGATAGTTACGTGCGGAGAACAGAATACCAGTGTCTTCGTAGACTTAAAGTACAGGGTGTCTCAAAACGCTTGTTCAAATAAGGTGATTTCAGTTTGTTTCCAGATGAAATGTGATGAAGATGTAGATGGAGGTGCTTCGTAGTCACCTGAAATAATTGCCCTACAAGAAAGAGACGTCGATAAATTACTAAATAATGATTAAATAAGCTGTTCTTATACTATTATTCTTGATTAAAAGTTTACCCGTCAAAAAGGTCAATCTTGAACTATATGATTAAAATACTAGATCCGTCGTTTTTTACAGTTAAAATTACAGTAGTTTATTTCTTACGAATGACAAAAGAGTACTCTACTCATTCCACAAACAGACTATACAGCAAGTTTAATTTTCTTTGAAAGCTGAGAGAGAACAGTAAATACCTAAAGCGCATGGATATTAGTTAATTCACTATAAAACACTCTTTTGTCAGTCTGTTTGATTAAACGCTCGTGTACAGCAGCGTTCACGACAAGAACAAAATAGCCCCAAATGTTCACTGGATCAACCAAAAGAAGAATAAGTGTTACCACTAAACTGTAAGAGCATTAATATAACAACAATACAGGTATTAAGTAGATAATAAAAGTGTATAAAATAAAGAAAAAAATAATGTTTCAATTAGCTTTTTTATTATCATTAATGGAAAACAAGTCATATTTGTCATGATCAAAATGCTGCGTAATAAGCTTATAGGACCATGTAAAATCTGGCCAGAGTGTTGTGTTATTACCCATTTTATCTTGATACCACGACTTACATCCTCCTGATTGCCATACCGATTTTTTTAATTTTGCTTGTAAACGATCATTGTACTGTTTGAATGCCTGTTGTTTAATTAAAAATTTCTTTAAATGATTTTGCTGCATATATATCATCGTTTCGATAATATACGTCAATTGACTTTCGATCATAAATAACACGGAATTATGAGCTAAACCTGTATTTGGCCCTAAGAGAAAAAATAAATTGGGAAAATTTGGTATGGTAATACCTTTGTACGCTTGCATCGTATCTTTCCATTGATCATAAATTGAGATGTCGTTGAGACCACGAATATCAATCGGAAATTCTTGAACTTGAAAACCTGTACTCCAGATAATTGTATCCACTTCGTAGTCGTTGCCATCATAGGTTGATATTGAATGTTCATTGACTTGTTTTATTCCACTAGTAACTAATGTTACATTTGGTTTCTGCAATGTTGGATACCAATCATTACTTAATAATACTCGTTTACAACCTAATTCCCACGTTGGTGTTAATTTTTGTCTTAATTCAGGATCTTTGACTTGTTTAAATAGAAAATATTTAACTAATTGTTGATTAATGTATTTAGTTGGCAATCGATAGGCGAACGACACGATTGTTGCTTCTCTCGCCCAATAGACAAAGGCACGCATTACTTTTTGTAGCAGTGGAAAACGTTCAAATAGTTTCTTTTCAGTGTCGGTCACTTTTCGATCTGCTCGAGGTACTATCCATGGTGGTGTGCGTTGAAAGATATACAATTGTTTTACTTCTTTTTGAATTTCTGGCACTAGTTGTATAGAACTCGCACCAGTACCAACAACAGCAACACGTTTGTCTTTGAAATCGTATGCTGTGTCCCATTCAGCTGAATGAAACATGCCACCTTTGAACTGATCAATACCAGCGATATTTGTGGGAAATTGAGCATCTGACAGTGGACCATGAGCACTAACTAAATATCGACTATAGACACTTCGCCCATTATTAATTGTTACTTTCCATTGATTTTCATCATCTAGCCATTGAGCTCGTGTTACTTTTGTATTAAATTGTATTTTTTGTCTTAAATTATGTTTGTCAGTGATATATTCCAAATATTTCCAAATTTCATTTTGACGACCAAAAAAATGGCTCCATTTCGGATAGGGTTCAAATGAAAATGAATACAAATTTGATGGTACATCGCATGCACAACCTAAAATAAATTAAACTGCTACGTTACGTGTTACGGTATGATAGTTTGACCCTAAACATTATGCTAGAAAAAGATGCTTTTATACTGGTTGCTTAGTCCACGATTCAATAGATTGTAACCACAAAACGTTTTGATTTATGATTTCCTTTACCTAATTTTCTCTTTCTATTTTCTTCTGTAGATTGTTTTTACTGACTCGGTTTTCTCTCTTGTTTATTTTTTATTTCTTTTTATTCAGATATTGTCTGTCATACTAAACACAATTACTGCACTACTTCTGATATAAATACTAATCGGAATAGGATAGTGTGGTTTACCGTTTGTTAGATTTGTATTTCTATAAGAAAAATGTAGCTTAAATCAAATCATACCGGGATATTTATTATCATGCCATGTTCCACCGACATTTCCTCGTCTTTCAAATATAACGTAATTATCAACATTTAACTTTTTTAGTTTTATTGCCAATCCCAGTCCACTAAATCCACCGCCAATAACAATCACATAGTAGGGCTTTTCGTGAGTACCATCACTTTCTTCTTGATTCCATTCAATTTTACGATTTTGTCCAAAACGTGTCAGACGGGTAGCGAGGAAGTAGATAAAATGGCCTAATAATCCAAGTATAATGGATAATGAATACATGGAATAGGCTGATAGCACCAATAAAAGTAATTTCCATCGTGGCCATAATACATCATCTGAGCTCATTATTGAACTAAAAGATGTTGTCGTTAATGATCAGGATCTGAAAAAGAATAAAAAATTGCTGTTGAAACATTTCAGATTGAAAAGCCGGTTGATATGTGAGGGTGTCACAAATATTTTCCTAGACCAATTAGATTGCTGAATGACGAGAATATTCTGATCTAATCTTTAATACAGATTTTGACGAATGCTTAACTATGTAACACACACTACAGCAGTGCACAGAATAAGAAATCGAGCACCTCAAGTTTACTTTTGGATTTAGTCCAAAAGTAAAATTGATGTTTTAAATGGCCATGTTAATTCAACATCGCACTACTAAATTCATAAACGTGTTTAATATATAAGGTTACCACGTTACTTTGGACTTGACACAGCGAGAAAAAACTATTATTTGTTCCATTTAAGGGAACAGAACGCAAAACATCTACACAGACTCACAGTTATTTTTCTTTTTCTCCTTTATTTATAGAGTACAGGTGCCTAATAAGAACAGACTCTTTTCAATTGACTTCTTTTTGTTACTCTATTTTATTATTTCTAAGAAAGTTTTACATAGCTGAGTGGAGAAAAGTATACCGAATCTAATGGTGAGAAAACTAATTATTTTGAATTGAAACTGATTGAGTTATGGCCAGTAGAATGAGTTTGGATCCATGCGTTTTTAATAAGTACATATTGCCTAGCAAGAACGACAAGCAGAATTCTGCTTCTAATAAGGATTTTTTTTTTACTTTTCATATATTGTTAAGTCCTTGGCTGTTACACAAAGAATTAGTTCACAGTAGACAGTTATAGACAAAAAAAGTACAAATGCATAAGATAAATGTTACATTTGGGGAAGATAGAGATACATTGATTTAAAACTAATTTTAGAGTTACTACAACAGGGCATATTTACTAGGCGAACAATGCACTGTATTACATTAATTAGAAAAAGGTAAATTAAAACACAGTTACATGCATTTGAATTTTACACAATACAGAGGAAAAATGAATGAGAGCGAAAATAACTTCTCTCTGTTCCCTCTCTTCTCTATCGTCGACAAAGCCTAGCCATAATACCAGCACCGACTCATGAGTCTTTCTTTACTTTACGACACGTTTGCTAGAAAAATAGTGTCCTGTTTTCAATCTTTTAGCCGGGTGATAATAGTCCCAATAAAATACATCATTTAGGATAGGAGAGTTGCACAAATCAGAATCGTAGAACCGCAATAATCTCCTTTTTTAATATCTAAAAAGGTATAAAAGGGAAAGAGCCACAAGAAAAACGGAAATGAATACCCGAAGAAATCCGGCCGCCTTAACTTACTTGAGCATTGTTTACATTTTGATAGCCACTTTGACTGAACAAAAGATTTTTGAATTTTGTCTAATCTGTTTGTAGAATGAGTAGAGTAGTACTCTTTTGTCCTTTGTAAGAAACAAAGGATTCGTGCAAAAGTAGACGATATGTGCTATTATCATTTAAAAGAATTTTGAAACCGTTCTAATTGATAAAGTGATTCATGTCTATGATGTGTTTAAATAAAGCTGATTTCTTTTGAGCGCTAGATAAAACAGCGGTGCTATCTTCAGCTAAATCGTTGTTCATATAGTGTTACGTAAAATAGCGTTCATAGTGAAGAAGAAAAGGATAAGGAAGAATACGTCTTTTCTCTATTTGTAATGCGAGCAAATCATCTCAACGTATACGAACCAGAATAAGGTGTTATTCTTGTTTTTGATCCCATACAGTGTCAAATGTCAATAATCTTAAGTCCGAGACTATCATTAGAACCATTGATAGAAGAAACAGAGTCTATATATAAATTAGTGCTAAAAAACTGAGTTTTTGACCTTTTCGATGCACCATGCTCCACCAGTCCCCAATAGAACTGTCATACACTCTTATCAATAAAAGTTCTGCCGCAATTATTATATGTAATACCATACAGCACATCAGTTTGTAGTAGCTTCTTCATCTTTAATTTGAAAAAAGAAACCGACAGTTTTCGGTCGTCAATTTCCACAATTTAGCGCACCATCATCTGCTATTGACGGATGAGCGGAAAATACATTATATGTAGTGTGCTAGAGTCCTAACAGTACAACGGTTTCTCAGGGAATGACATTTTGTTGTTTTTTGTTATCAAAAAAGGTGATACAGATGGAGTTTTATATGATGGATCATGTTAGCACTGAGGCTTAACTGCACAGTCATAAATAGACTCGATAGAACACATGTAAGTACCTCTAATAGCCGAAGTATGCTGCAGTGTCATGATAAAAGCGTTAAAACTTTTAGAAGGTATAAGACGACGGCTAAAATAATATTTCATATATTGAATTGATAACCAATTTTTAAGATAGCTTCTAACAGAAATCTCGTCAAGGAAAATAGGAAATTGTCAGCGTTGGTACCGCCTTTCTGGAAAAAAAAGTGTTTCAGAAACTTCATTCCATTTTGTGGGATAAAAACTATTTCCATCTATGACTAACATTCGGTGTCTCATTTGATGATGAATCATGATGGCACGTGTGCAGTCACAAAACTAATCAAAGAACGAATACAATTAGACTTATTTGAACGGAATATAGTAACATGAAATACATGCAAAATCCATGATTAGTCAAATCGAGTTTCAGTAACCAGAAGAGAAGTCTTGCTATTACCTTGCACAATAAAAGAATTGAGTTCTTTATTTATCTGACATAGAGAACTCGTTTTAGATCTCTAAAGTACTCAAAAGAAGATCCTGAGCTTTTTCAAAATCTCTTTTTAAGTTTTTTGAACAACCCGTAAGAATTTTCTGAAAAGTTGAAGACCTCATACAAAACGCAATATGAATTTTCAATAGAGGATTAATGAAGAACTCTTTGTTTCCAGTATAAAGTCCAAGACTAACTTGATTACTATGAACCTTTATTTTAAATCGTGTACAGCAACCCGACTATTAAAAAGCTTTCTATGCAGTTCATATAAGATATGCTATATAAAAACATTCTAGCACTAGATATATTTGATGTAAACATAGTTTAGTTAACATGGGGTCAATCGAATTATTATAGCGCTCACGGCAAGTAAAGACTTATAACTTAAAAAAAACACAGAAAAAAGACAAGTAAAAAGAATAATAAAAAAAGTAAAATATATTTACGAAAAACGTTTTGTTTCACTAATATAATGTGTGACGGCTTTATATACTGTGGATTTTTGCTCGTGATCGGTTAATGAAGGACTGGGTAGCAACAGCAAGTCAGAAGGCGTGGGATTTGATCCCAATATAGGCTGCAAATCATACAACATTTTTTCTCTGAGTACATGGTAGTTCTTGCAATCCAAAAGAAAGTGTCTAGCGGATTCCTGCAGGCGCACAAGTCACTAGGAACAAGGTTCCTTTTAAACAATGCTGCGTTACAAGGCGAAAAATGCGTAGCAAACTGATTTTCCACTCTTCTCGGAGCAGTTAGCCTTTTGAAATACATTTAACGGTATTCTGACAGAAGGGACCATATACGACGATTGCTGGCTGTAGAGAAGATATCGGACTACCCGAAACCAATATACCTCTCATAGGCTTTCCAGCATCCTTTATCGATAACAATAGTTGTATTATGTACAAGGGATTTGAAAAACCATGTGGATATAACTGCAACGAAACATCAATTAAAACAATAACAGTTTCTGCTGACATCTTTCTTTTTTCACTATTCGTTTTTTTACTATTGAGCAGATGTATCATGTTCTATCTATGTGACAAAAATAATGTGATCTATGTTTTTTTTATAGTTCAAATCTGTTGCTAACGATAAAAATATTAAAAAAAAGTGGAATTAAAGAAATAAATAAACAACTATCAACCAAACATACCACATATCACATATAACCGGAAATAAAAATAAAATAGAGCAGTGATAACAAAAGAGTTAATAGGTTGCTTAAATAAAACAAGAGCAATTTTAGAAATCACTGCACATACAAACACAACAAAAAAAACAAAAGAAAATGTGCCTAAAAAAGGAAAGTGTTCTCTGTTGAGCAATCATTAGGTGTATGCACTTTTGACTAGACTACCATTATACGCCAGGCCAACATTCTTTTCTATTTTTTTTGTTCACCTGCAGCAGTACCTGGTTGTCTCGCTGTCGTTTTTACCGTATGTTGATGTTGTTTTGTTGTGGTTGTTACAGACGTATTTATTGTTTGTGGTAGCGACGATTTAGTTGCGTGAATAGACGAGATGGATGCTGTTGATGAGACTGATCCAGGATGGTGAGCACCGGTAATACTTGTGGCTTTTCCAACTTGTTTCGATCTAGAACAAATGATTTTAAAGTTTTTTAGGTCCGCACTTCATTTGATTAACGTTCCAAAAGAAAAAATGAATTGTCTCAGTTGTCAAAGTAATTAATTGTTTATCTTGTGAAATACTCCTCAATTCAGAAAACTTTATTTCTCGTATAGACCATTAACTTACGAATACTGTTCGTTTTCTCGAGTTGTAATTGTTGTTGAAGTCGTTGGTATTGTTTCTTTTACATTTTGCGTAAGGTGTCGTCCGCTATGAGTTGCTGCTGTTGTGATTGATGCTTGAGACGTTGTCATCGTTTTTGTAATAACCTTTCCATCGTCAATGGTGACAGGCGGTGTTGTGGTAATAGCATGCACTCGTTGATCTTTACTACGAACAATGCTATCTTTACTACCTGATACTAAATCGGATTTGTGAACGGACTCAATATTGCCCACTGAAATATTCCCAGTATTACTTGTCTTACGTGGAGGTTTTTGCTCATCATTTGTAGTTGATAGTTTTCGTTGTGTTTGATTCGATGATAAACTTGTGCCATGATTATTATTATTATTATTATTATTATTAGATGGAGCTATAATACAAAAAGAAAATACATGTCAAAACAACGTCTGAGATATATAAAATAATCGCTACAGCTTAGGAACACGGTCAATCTCTAGTGATAATACTGGAACAACTTTTCGCATTGAAATACTTCTTCCAAGATCGACTAAGAATGTCTCTTTTTTGCACACTTCACTGATTTATTATTTAGTTTAAGGGAGCCCCCCTCCTCAGGAATTCGATTTTTCTTCGTAATCTTCCAAACTGAAGTCAGCATATGGTTGAGTATCCCAAACTGTCATCTTTTAGAATTCATCCCAATTTGACAGAAATTCAATGTTTTTGGAGGTTTTTGAAAAAGATTTCAGAAAGCCCTAAAAACCACCTTTTCTAAATTTGAAATTAAAATTTTTAAGGTTGTCTGTTTTAACAGACACGGAGCTATGTTGAACAGGATGTTCTAATCAAAATGAGATTTTCCGCAGATTTGTACGACTTCGCCTTGCAGAGCTGTACTAGGTTTGGTAAAGGTGCTGAATTATAATTAATGACGTGATATATTGCTTAGAATATGGTTTTGGCGCAGGAAAATTGCTACTCCTCCTCCTAGACGATTCAACCTCATCAAACCTTCATTTTTTGTTTATTTTGAGGCTAAGACATTTATCTAAAGTTCGATTCGTAGCGACTTTTGAATTTTGTTTTCTGTGCAGAGAAAAGTGAAAAATACTCCTCCGAGTTTAGGGCTATTTCCAGAGTTCTAACTTAAAATACATGTAGAAAATGAACGGAAGCGAAATCCCCAAATTGCTATGGATCAAACTTTAGATTTAGGTGTCTACTTTCATCTGAGACCACCCGCAGCTTTCAGTTCCTTCCAACAAAAAAGCCTTAGTGTTTTTGTTAAGAGCCCCATTTTGCCTCTTAACCCACGTATAGCTCGGCAATGCTCCAAACTTTCAAGCTCAAATTTTTAGCATAAGCCAGTTGGATAATAAGCATTAAGCACTGTAAGCGCCATCGAAATCGGATGTGAAAAAAAAAGTTTTTTTCTGAGGGGAGCCCGCTTAAGAAAGCTAATGATATACACATGGAATGAATCCTATATTATATTGATTTAAGTAGGAACATAGCACTGCGACAAAATGCATGTTCAAGTTCACTTATAAAAAAAGCTCGAAAGCTCGAGTAGTGTTTTTTAAGTGAAAACTTGAACATGCATTTTGTTCCAGTGCTATATTTCTTACTTAAATCTATTTTCTTCACTGCATCGTCTCCAAATTTTATTATTTTGATTGTCCTACATTAGACTGACAATTTTGAATCGTAATAATAAGATTCTTTTCTCTTTTTCTCATAATATATTCCTATCCTATTTAGTATTGTGTTAAAAATGAGTGAAATACAGTCATTGTAGAACTGATAATTATTATGACAATTACAATTTCATAATATAATAGACGTCATTGAGAATTTAGCATACGCAGTACTCAGCACTAGATAGAACGAACAGCACTGCAAACAACTGCGGAGCAATAAGTCTTATGCACAAATAAAAAATAAATACATTTCGATTCCTTACCTTGTCGTTGTTCTACAGTGGTTGTTTCATTTCTTGATGTTTTACGTTGTTGACTAGTAGATGGTATATCATCGCTTTCTGATGCTTTTCGTTGACTTGTGCTAGCTAAAAAGAAACAAATATACTAAAATCTAATAAACTATTTTACAATATTACTAACAAACCTTTCTTGCTTTACTTGATCGTTTAAACTCATTTGAAGACTCTTCCTTTTTGATTCATTTATAAACAGTTCTACAACCTTCATCTCTCGTAATCAATTTACTTGATCGTCTGCAAATTGTTCACCTGTCGATGTTTTTCGTTGTGGTGTTGATGTCGTTTTTGTCGTATTAGCAGCAGAACTTGCCCCATTTACACTCGAACCAGTTGATGTTTTACGTTGTGTTGTTGTTGATGAGATGGTAGACGAGGCTGAAGTTGTTTTAGCTCGACTATCTAAAAAGAAAAGTAATCTTAATTAAAACTAAATAATAAAACTTAAATAACAAAACTTTTCAGCAAAAATTATAAAAATTACCATCGAATTACGAGTAGCAGTTTCAATTGTAATCTCAAAATTTGTTTTTTATCAAGAAAGTTCATTTTTTGTGCAAAAATATAATCTACACATGTTTGTCTATAGTTTACAAACCAGATTACAGGGGAGGCTGAACCCCACAAAAGATACTATTAAACTTTCCAGATTGTAGAGAATACTTGACTGCATATGTTTTCCGAGAGCCAATAAGTATTCAGGGAGTTATAAATTAATTAAGATAAAATTTTAGCAAAAGATTTAATTGCTGGATCTATTTTTAAAAACTTAACTATTCAATCAAAACTAATTATACAAACGTGATTCTAGTGTACTTTGATCGAGAATCATTTTTAGTTATGATCGCATTTAAGATATTTCAGAAAAATCTATGCTGGGATATAGATTAATCATTAATTAATCCTAATTAACGCTGATTACGGACAGTTCAGCGATTTACATTTTTATTTGTAAATCAACAGTTCTTCGAAAATAATAATAATCACATGGTACATCATTCGAATTGGCTTTTCAAGCGCTACAAAACTGTATATGTGCTTTTCAAAAGAATAGGATTTTGACTTAGTTATGAACTTTTTAGTTTTTGATGAAAATAGCCAAAAATGGGTTATTTCACCTAGTACAAGTTTTCAATTCGGTCTTGCACTTTCTTCTGAAAATTAACATTGCACGAGATTCAGCATATTCAATAACCTATGTTTTCATAATTTCAGAAGGTCGCAGAACGAAGAATAGAGTAGTCCCAGGGCTTCGGAAAAAATGTCCAAAGCTCCTAAACCAATCAAAGTGAACCCTTTGTTTAGATCTTATTTTGTAGAAGACACGTTGGACTATCTATCCATGAAAAAAAAATCGATTGTTTGCTATATAAAATTTTTGACCTGGAAACTAGTTTTCCAGAGACCCTCTGAAAAACCGATTCCAGAAATTTGTTCAGAAAACGTTTTTGCCTATGAAAATATAGGGTAAATTGTCCTCTTTCAACTACCGAAAACCCCAAGTCGTCTTTGAGTTATTCAGAAAACAACTACTGGTCCTATATTTTGGGACGGACAGTAGTATTTTTTAAGAATCTTGTGACAGATTGTGACTCAACGAACCACGATGGAGAAAAATGTTTGCTGGCAAAACTCGTCTTTAGCTGCCAAATGGGGTGGGTACTGAGTGTCATACTTTTTTCAGTGTAACGGAAAAATTTGGAGAAAAATCAAATTTAATTATAAGATTATTAAAAAAACTTAAAACTCAATTCATGATTGACAGTCGTTGAATAGTTTCATAAAGCTATTCAACGGCTGGCAGTCATCCCTAGCATCGGTATGGAGTGACATCTACAGATTTTTAACCGGTTTACCCAGGACAATATTACTACAGCGGTAAATGGCCGTATACTACAGTTTATGATGATGGATACTGTAGTATACGTCAAAATACGAGTTGTTTACAACGAAATACGATGACGTCTACCGTGGAAAAGGATTACGACGTCGTATTTTATCTGGAATGGATATGGGTGATTCTTTCGAGAGTGTACCACATTTACATCGACTTTATCCGGATTGTTCGAGAGTAACAGGACTAGTACAACTTGAGCTCCTGATGACGAATATCACGTTTAAAAGATTCTAAAACAACGGC